TCAATTCAATGTAAGTTAACAAGAAAAGTATTGAAGTCAGGCACCTTTTCTCACTGGAAACGGCATCAAATATTCACGAAAAGGAATTTGTAATTCCAAAAACCATATCAGATCGTAAAAAGTGAAAACTATGAAACATTTTGAGCCTCCAAGCTTCTAATTTGGCGCCAACGTCAGGCAACTCGCTCGTAGTTCGTTGAGCGTCGCCAGGTAGGATAACAGTTCTGTATTCTGAACAAAATCTGTAGTTCCTCATCAAATTAAACCCAGGATTCTCAAGTTAACCATTAGAAGAGGCCAAAGCAACATTAGCATTGTCTTAATTTGTGTTAGCTGCGCAGAAAATTACTATTATCGTGTCGTTTCGGTGAGACAGCTAAGTTTTGACTGCCGCGCGTACTGCGGGCGCAGCTGCCGTATGCAAGGCAGAAGGTCTGGGCTTAGTAGTAAAACCTGTCAAATATATGCGCAGGCCTTATGCGGCGAAGTTTTGGATGTCGGTCATTCCTTATATCAGGCTGTGTTGATTGGCAGAGCGAAGAGAGCGCTTTTTGACATAATGTACTAACACAAAATTCCAGGAAACTCTGAGGTGTAAAATGCATTGTTTTTAATCATGCTTTGTGCTGTTAACGGTAAAGCCAACACATAGTTAGTTTATATACCCCATCAAGATCATTACAAAACGGAATACAGCTGAATAAAATTCAATATCAGGGTCTCGAATTTACATTTACTTTTTTATGCTCTTTCGTATAGTTTTCCCTGATCGTGCAATGAAGTTTTCGTCCATATCGATGTCTGTTAACCTCATATTGCTGTCAGGTCAAATTCCGGCAGATTCCATCGTTGAACGATTGCAGAATTTTCAAAATATAGTACAACGTCTTTCTCCTGAACGTCTCCTTCGTATAAAATGGGTTTTTTTCTTTTTTTTCCTGACAGCTGAACGTGATTGCTTGATAACATCACTGTTGTCTCAACTGGTGATTCTCGCGGTCCAACATAGGTTTGGCGGGATGCGGGATGAAATAAATTTTACTGGCGGGATGCGCGATAAGAAATACTTCGGCTGAAACACGATTTGCTCATTTTGACAGGCGGGATGCGGGATAGCTTTAAAATTGACGGCGGGATGCGGGAAGAACAACATAAAAATCACAGGCTATGGACGTTACGCGGGGAACTTCAAGTCTAACCAGGCGGGATCTCGATAAACATTCTGACTGGAGTAGGATGGTGGGATAAAGCCAAAAACAGTGGCGGGATGCGGGATTGGAAAAGCCTATGTTGGACCCTCGGTGACCAGTGAGCGTTAATATCCCGCGGGAAGGCCTCCTTTTCTGTAGTCAGATTCTGCGTAGATTTGAGGTACCAAACTGTACACGTAGCCTTTTCGTTTTCCGTGGGAATCAACCATTTTGAACTTGTGAGGGTTTTTCACAATTCCCTGGACTACTCCATGGCTAACGTCGCTCACGTTTACCTAAAATGAGAAGAGACAAAGTAAGGTCAAGTCTGCATACGAGCCAAGTGGCCCATCAGGCTGGAGCTTATCTCCGGTTTCTGTAGTATGAAGCGACTAGNCTGGAGACTTTTTTCCCACTTTTTCGTCAACGGAAACTAGGTAAAACGATAGTCTGCATACGAACCAAGTGGCTCATCAGGCCGGAGCTTATCCCAGTTTCTGTAGCATGAAGCAAATAGAAGAATTTCTACTCTCCATCCCCACCCCCCCAACCGGGGGGATGCTAGTCCATCGCAAGGTTATGCAAAGCATTAAATTCGCCGGTACCCATTTTTACACCTGGGTGGACAGAAGCAATGTGAGAGTTAAGTACCTTGCCCAAGAACACACACAACACAGGTTCGAACCCGGACTGCTAAATCCGAAGGCGAGCGCACTAACCATGAGGCCATTGCGCATCCACTGACAAAATGACAAGAGAATTACTTAATTTGACGCCCAGATTAGTCCACTAGACAGAACGTAGAACTATCAACATCCAAGTGCTGTAAGCATATGCATTGTTTTCTTTTTGTTAAAATGTAAAGAAGTGGAAGTGAAGAAATTTGAAGTTACATATCAAACACGAGAAACGGCGTTTCATCACGTTTCCAACTACTAGAAAAGATGCAACGTACCGCGAGGAATTGTTACCGAAATTCGAGGTGATCGAGTGTTTGATATATCCTTTCAATTGAAGCTTAGACTAGTGAGAAAACTGAGAAAGCCTGTACTAATTAATATTACATATCCAAACCACTCTTGGTGATTTAGTTTGTTTAAACGTAATGTATTGATAATGAGTTCAAGAGGATCTTTTCCTTGACCAGTCTTTTATCAAATCTACCTGATGTCCAAGAGCCTTTAGACCGTTAACTACTTCTGTTGGAAACTTAGTCTCAGCGAATACATAGTTAGGATAGAGCTGGTCGTGTACTCGAGGCATTGTTACGGCAGTCTGCAGATTCTTCTTAAACCAGAAATAGTTCATGATGGCCTGGAATGAAAGAAACAAAACGAGACGATAGTTGAATTACAAAGTCCGTGTGGAATGTCTATATAGCTATTCATGGGTTGGGCTTTCAAACTGGGTATGTGAAGAAATAGAATTAACTTCTTGCTGTTGTGAGAGGCACCATGAGGGCGAAGCCCCTTGTCATGAATCATAACACAAAGGCAATGACCAGACACGACTCCAGGCATCTGGGCCAGATGTTCAAAGGTGGATGCCGTTATCCACTGGATAAATCACTATTCGGTAAATAACGCAAATAAAACTTATCAAAATCTAGCCTGTAACGGAACTCTCGAAAGTCGTTCGTTTCGTCAAGCTTGCGCAGTAAGGAACGAAGACTCGAGGAATGAGATTGATTTTGAGAAAAAGTTCATTAAAACTACTAGCACCTGGTCTTCCCTTCAGCACTCGGTCGTCCATTTTGTCTAGTACTATCGTTTGTATTGTTCAAGCCCCGAGACTCGAACATAAAGTAATTGGATCGAAAGAAAAAACGCGTTGAAACAGTTACAAACGAGTCAAAAGTTCGGCCCTTTTACTTTCTTGAAACTGTAGTAAGCCAGCTTCAGCCAACGCTTATTGAAAGTGATCGTTCACCGAAACTAACCTGGGCAACAGAAGTTGTGATTATAGTACCCCCAGCAGCGCCAATCGTCATTAGCACATTTCCTTTTTTGTCCAGTACCATTGCGGGCACGGCCGAGGACTGCGGTCTCTTCCCTGGCTTGATGAAATTAACAGGTGATGGTGGAAGTCCGAATTCGTTCGTGACGTTTGGTGCGCTGAAGTCGTCCATCTCGTTGTTATAGACAAATCCAAGCTTGTTTGAGAGAAACTTTGCCCCAAAACTGCAATAAAACGCAAGCCGAAATGATTGGTTTGACGCACTTTACTTAAAGTATTGGAAGCATTGGATTGGAATTGGAAGCATGGCACGCATATCCGCTTCGCTTCGTACAGAAAACAAAGCAAAATCGCTGATCTTATAGAGTATTTAACGAGTGTGGGTCGCCTTTGTCGCTTTAGACTGTTCACAGCCCTCTATTTTCTCGTATTTTTATTCGATGCCTCGCTCACTTTTTTCTTTCGCCTGCGTAGACAAAGAGAGAGGCTGCGAACAGTCTATTGTCGCTTCCTACTGAGAGATGAGAGATGTACACTCCACCACGATGACCAGATTTTGATTTTCGATAATGACGTACAGTGGTCCCAGTGCGGCCCTCCCTCGTCCCAACGCGTTCAGGGGGGTGGGGAGGGAGAGCAGCGTAACCTACTACTTACTATCCATTCACAGTGCTCGTAAGCGAGACTGCATCTCCATTGGCGGCAAGCACGGCAAGATGAGTTGTTCCAGTCTTGATAGGCACGTGGTATCGAGATCCGTAGTAGTCTTGAAGGTGTGTTTTTGTGTCCGTGATTTGGTGTCTAATGTCGTCCGCTAGTTTTGTACTCATCATTTCCTTGACAGTCTGGGAAGAAATAAAATGAGAAGTGAAAGTTTCCGAGGCATATAAAGGAGCTACGTCACGGTTTCGCATTTTGAAAAGTTCAACCTAAATTTTTCAAGTTCGTCGTTTGCAATCCGTGATAATCTTCTCCATCCTTGACCATCCTTGTTCCCTTATGGTTTATTATAATCTCTTTGGTGTCTTTCTATCTTAGTGAACTATTATTTTCAGGTTTCCTTCATTTCAAAGGTAATTTTCTACGCAGCCAAAATGCCGTGACTGAGCTCCCTTAAATAAGGGCAAAAAACCTGAAAACGCTAGCTAAAAAGAAGAATCCTTACAATCATTCAAAAGCCGCGATCGATCCCCGTGCAAGCATGAGAACTTATATCGGTCAAATTAAGTACAGGGTCGGGTTGTTCGAAACCCGGTTAGCGCTAACCCAGGATTAAAAGTTAATCGAATTATTAATTTTTCTGGTACGAAAATGTTTTTCACTACTTATATTTTGTGTAGTTTGAGATTATTCAAAGTCAAAACTGAAGGACAAACAATATAAACAAAAAACCTCACCGAAAAGTTGCAAAACTGAAATCAAAATTTTCTCTAATCCTGGGTTAGCTTAATCGGGTTTTGAACAACCCGGTCCAGAAATTTTCTTTTTCTTTTCGAGATTGTTCTGTTTCTTACCAACACATCAGCAGACATTACCCCTTACTAAAAGACCGAGGCAAAACTACAAAAGCTCTTTATGACAACAAACCTTGTTAACTTCCTTCTCATAGTCAGGGTCAGCGAGCAGTGATCGATACTTGTACGCAAACTTGAATGCTTCGATGATACGGTGATACGTTCTCACTGGATTTTCATCAAGATCGTTCTGCCTTAATTTGAATCCTGCGGTAAGCAAACATAGATACCTGCTGATGGGAGTTACGACAAAATGATCCTTTTTAGGAGTTTTGCTGTGGGGTACAATTGAATCTGATCTCCAGAACAAGTTGTTGCCTGGAATCTTTCACAATCCCGTTTTTCTCCGGCCTCTTTTCTTTTGTTTGTAGCTGTTTTTTGTTTCCCTCCCCCGTCGGGGAACAAGTAACAATAGTTAATAGTGGCCAGAGTGGTTTTCGATTGAGCGTCGAAAGTAATCAGACAATTACTTTGGTTTTGTTTTGGTTTTACAATGGTTTGAGATTGGTTGAGTAGTGTAATTGGTAAGTAATCGGTTTGGCTTTGGTTTCACGACACTCAGTTGAAAACTGCTCTATCAGGCAGGTTTCCTGTGATTGATTTAAAAGTATATCCTCTGTGGAACTGTGAATGAAACAGGAATTTTTCTCTCTTTGCGTAATGAGTAATGCTCTTGGTACATCCTAACAATTTAAATGAGCTGAATACATCCTCTTACCGTCCAAGATATTTAAAGTCAGAGCCAGCACTGGTCCAGCGGTAGGCGGTGGAGTGCTCAGCAGCGTCATGTCATCCAGCTTGCTTTTTAACGCTGGACGAAACTTGACTTTGTAGTTCTTGAGGTCATTCCTTGTCAGAACCCCTCCAGCAGCGCGTACTTCTTTGACGAGAGTTTTGCTCATTGCTCCGTTATAAAATGGTTCGGCGCTTCCCGCCCGTGCAATAAGTTGAAGAGTTTTGGCCAACTGTGGTCGTTTCAAGAGGTCTCCTTTTTTCAAGAGTTTTCCATTTCTGGTAAAATCTCGTCTGCAAGTATATTTTAAGCAAGAAGAGGGTAGATAATAGAGAATAATCGAACAACTTTTGCCATAACTGCTCTGGTTTATGATTGTTTGTTTATTGTGACAATTATCAATGTAGGTCCGGTCTCATGCATCCTTGACCCATACACACTGTCAAAATCTAGGTAAACAACCCCACGTTTTTAACTGCATACTGGCTCGGGGAATAGCAGAGTCATTCAATAATTGAAGCAATTAGTCAGTCAGTCAGTCAGTCAGACAGTCAGTCAGTCAGTGAATCGACCAACTAATTAATTAATCAATCAATCAATCAATCAATCAATCAATCAATCAAGCATTCAGTCAATCAACCAACCAACCAACCAATCGGTCGATCAATCAATCAATCAATCAATCAATCAATCAATCAATCAATCAATCAATCAATCAGTTAGTCAGTCAACCAACCAACCAACCAACCAACCAGTCATTCAATCAATCAATCAATCAATCAATCAATCAATCAATCAATCAATCAATCAATCATTCATTCATTCAGTCAGTCAGTCAGTCAGTCAGTCAATCAATCGGTGAAAGAAAAATGAACGTTACAGGGAAACCAGTGTTGGTCAAGCTATTAATTGTCTTATTATTCTTCGTCAACCAAATAACTTTTCTTTCTCACCTAAACGTCTTGTCCTTCATGAGTAGATCTTTCCAGATGTTTATCGCTATTGCTACCGTCTCTGGAATGATAAACCCTTTTTTAGCGATGTGTATAGCTGGTTTAAACAATTCCTTCCATGGTAACTTGCCGTATTTCTTCCACGCAGCTTCCAAGCCTCGCAGCTCTCCGGGAACTCCAACAGCTAGTCCACCTGTGAATGAAGACAAGGAAAAGGACTGACGTGAAAAGGTTCTTAAGGAGTGTTACACAGTCGTAACACGTAATATTGTAAGTAACTTATCAATTTTATTCTGTGTATGTAACAGGGTGTGTTTACCCAGGTGTATAAATCGGTACCGCCGAATTTAATCCTGGGGGTAACCTCACGATGGACTAGCATCCCATTTAGGGGAGAGTAGAAATAGTCCTAGCCCCTTCATGCTACTGAAACCCGAAATAAACGCCGGCCTGATGGGGCACTAGGCTCGTACTTTACCTTTACCACGTAACAGGATGTATTTTTTTACCGGTTTTAAACGTTTATTCACCATCCGTGTCCAGTATCTATTTGTCAAATCGACTGATAGAATGGACAAACTTTCAACGGTGCTCAGCAATATCCTGATTTAGTATATGCACACTCAGTGATCTTGGTGTTTCAAGAAATCTGATTGGTTCGCTACCTCTGGCTAATCCTAAGTCTCGCTAATTAGATGCAATTGTCGAAGACCTAACACTGAAAACGTGAGCTTCACAAACTCGATACGGTGGTTAATTTAACGACCTTTATCGACTTCAAGTTGATAAATAGCTGAGTGTTTCAGGTACCCGCCGCCTAAGGCAGCAGTTTCTTTAGAAACTAATACCCTTATATAAGGTTATGTTCAGAGCCGTTGCCAGGTTTACGACGTGCATAGAAACGTATGTAACCACAGTGACAAGCATGGAAAAAGGGTAACGATAGTCACATGATATACATGATAAATACAAACATATTTGTGCAATACATTTTGTGGCATCCGTTTTATACCATGGAGGGACACATACGACATAACCGTACCCAAATTCGCACTTAGCCAATCAGAAGTCGTGTCTACTGTCCTGATATCCTGCGATATCAAGTCACTGACCTAATATAGTTACGATATCATGGTCACTTGGTCAAATCTGGGCGTGTTTTGTTTGGTCGTTTGGTCTCGTTTGGTCTCGCCACGGGTATTTTGGCTCAACTATGTCTCTCTAAAACAGGAACCGTGATTCAACCAAACTTGCCTGATATGCCGCCGAAGTGTACCAAAAGGGTATGATTAATTATAAAGATATTACCTCGAATCCCATTCAAGGGATCTCCTTTGAACAAATCAACACCAGAATGCTCAGGCGCCGTCTCTCTGAAGTCGATCATCTCCGCTGACCGTTTGTGACTGTCGTACACCATCATAAACCCACCGCCTCCGATCCCAGTGGAATGCATGTTGATGACGCCAACGCACAAGGTGGTTGCTATGGCAGCATCAACAGCAGAACCCCCTTTCTTGAGAATGTTCCGTCCCACTTTGGAACACTCAGCATTGTCTGCGGCCACAGCAGCATGCTGGTAAAAGTGCTGTTTGACTGGTTGTTTAGCGCTCGTTGGGCTTTGATATGAAAAACAGGAATTAAAAGTTTAAAATCAAGGAAACAAAAGTGTAGCAGCTCTCGAAAACTTGTAATTCTATTTGTCGTCATAATGCAGCAGCTGTTGTTTTGGGGCTAGGGTGCATTGTTTCTGTTGTTTGTTCTATCTCTCAAAGAGTATCGAGCAATTCATTTGAGACCTTGCGAGAGCTGCGTCTCGACCCCAAGTGAAAGCCTGAGTGTTTCCTGCGCAAGACTATACCTCTGGGGTATCTGTGCCTTTCCCATTAGTTCAACCAACGAAGAGTTTTTATCACGGAACAAGCATATATCATAGCTCAAATTCAGTGCGAAGTCATTGGAGCAATTTTCAATTAATTGTCGTAAAACCAACACCAAAGTAATCACGTACTCTAGCCAATCACGAAACGACACAGGCAATACAGTGATCCAATCAAAACTCGAAGTAATTGCAAGTAGCCGAAGCAAAGCACGGGAAAACGTGTGCAAGCGAGTCACGATTGGTTTTGGTTTTAGTTCTGATTGGATGACAAAGTGGCGCGTGTTTTTTGAGCCAAACATTTAGCGCAGTTGATGGAAAACCAATTACTTTTCGACACTCAAATGAAAACTGCTCCATCTTTACTAAGATACCAGTTAAACATTACATACTTTATGACTGGTCCCACCCAAGTAGTTGTGCAAAGAACCAGTTAGTCCAAAAACAAGTGATTTGTCATCTAGCAACGAAACGATAACATACTGAAAAGAGCGAATGTTAGAGTCAACCAAACTGTATCGCATCCCACCTAAGTTGCAATCTATAGAAGTATTTCCCACGCGGGATATATCTGAATTTAATTCATAGCCACGTGATCAAGAAATCCATTAATGAAAGGGGGGTCGTGTAACGTGCATCGGGCCATCAGTTATCCATTAACACTTTGTAATCTAGCTGACATGTTTTGACAGTTGTCAAATTTTTTAAAACTAACAGCCAAAAATATTCAATGCATTAAGAAAGATTGTTGAAGTGAAAGTGGCTTGAAGTTGACGTTTCCATCCTAAGCCCTACACCTGATCACTAGTTAATTCTCCACACCCTCCGCCCTACGTTTCTTTTGATATAAGTGCTGAGAATTCGTTGTTACATCAAGGCAATACCCCTTGGTTGACGATTTTCTCATTTCTCATCACCTGCCTACATGGCAATATATTGTTGTTATTAAGAGAATTAAGAAGTGAATCACTCTTTAAACCTGTACCCGTTTAATTTTCTGTGCGCCAAAAGGTTGTTTCGATTGATCCTTGGATCAAAAATGTCATTGAGTCAAGGCAAATTAAAAACAGTGATGTACTTTTCCGGCGTTCAAACGAAACAACAATTCTCTGATTGTGTCTTATTGCAATAACGTCGCACTGCAATTTTTGATACAAAGTGACAACGATTGACGGGGCTGTATTTCAGTTAATAAGTATTCTTCTGGATAAACAAAACATGATTGCTAGATAAACGTGTTATTCACCGGTGATATACGACAACATTTGGATTCGATTGAGACAAAAGTGCGGATCAAAAGTGTTTGTAATGATCAAGCTTTAAACTTATCGACTGAGGCATAAAATTTCGAGCAGTTATATTTTTGTTCAAGGAAACATGTCGAGTAAAATCGCTGAATAGAATTTCCTATGCCTATTACCCGGTTTGTGAGAAATCTGCGCGGCTTGAAAGACATTTTTGCGTCAAATCTTCGCAATCTAGACCAACAGATATCGTCATGTATGACTATCAGCTTCACTTCCTTACCTTCCCATCATAAACCTTTTCTTCAGATCTCTTACAAATGGCGTATCCCTGAATAGGAATCCCACTCCTGCCACCACAACACACGAGGCAGCTAACACAAGTAACGCTCGCAGATAGCGCCGTGAGGAGCGGCCGGTCGAGCACTTCTTCTCCAACATGGCGCCGACAGTCGTTTGGGAAAAATTTCAGTATACGCTCGACGTTGTGTCCTATCGAAAAACACCAACTGAATTATTCACTGGTGGATCAGGGAAATGAAACGGTTGGCAGAACTCGCTGTTCTATGGTTGCTAGGTCACCCGTGTCAGATTCAGGTACCCGCTTCATGTTTTGAAAGCGCGTGGGTGCCGAAAGGGCGTTCACTTGTAAAGCCTAGGGCCCGTTTCTCGAAGGTCCCGAAAGATTTTCGCAAACGAAAAGCTGTACCAAAATCTCAAACCTTATGACTACAGAGCTGTTTTTTTTTTTACATATTCTTAACATGAACAGCGGTTCTCTTCATACAAGAAGTTTCAGGCGTATACACCTCTCTGTCTTTAAATATCGATAAACTAAAAAGGGCTTTTCGGGCCCGAAAAGTTTCCGGGGCTTTTGAGAAACGGGCCCCTGGTCAACCGAAGTCACTAGAGACACAGGCTCACTGCGTTCACTTTGATTATGTGAACTTAAGTGAACGGACGTTTTTCGCTTTTTGCCCACCAAAGTCACAAGGTCGCACTGAAATACAAAGTCAGTCGCGAAATAAGCAAAATTCTTGTTCTGTGCTTCTAGTACTAAGGAGCTTAAGAAAACCACGACGGCAACGGCAACGGCAACGTCGCTAAACAAAAGGTTTAATGAGCAGAACAATGGCTGTGCCCGTGCGTTATAATTCTTGGTACATTTCTTTGCCGTCCTCTGCAAAACTACAACGTGAAATGACCAAATTCTGCGTTGTCTAGAGAACGTGAGTTACGGCGGCTAATTTTTTAAATTTTTATTTCAAATTTATCACTGGGTTCCAGATTCAGTTTCGTGATAGCTTTGGCAGTGATAAACAAAGTAAATGACTTAGGGGTTGCTGTACTGCGAGATTCGTAGGTAAAATATAAAATCATTTTTTAATCAACGTTGTCCTCGACGTCGCCGTCGTGGTTTCTTAAGCTCCCTAGTGGATTGAAGTGCGCGCGGTGAAATAGAGTGGTTCTCTTCAAACTTGTTTCAACTTTCGATAAAAATAGCGTGCACTTGCAAATGAACGTGCGAGTCTTTTTTGTCATGTAACGCAGATCTGAAGGGAAGTTCGTAATTCGCTCAAAACTTGTGCCCTAAGCGTGGAGTTATAGGGGTTGAGAACGATTATTCTTAAAACGAAGACTTAAAACTTCTTACCCACAACTACAGTAACCATAATCATTTTGATGAAATAGTTTATTAGCGACACACCATAAATAATAATAATAATAATAATAATAATAACAACAATAATGATAATAATAATAAAAATAATCATAATAAAAAAGATCAAACAAAAAGACGGCGAGGAGACCTTCAATAAACCAGCAGGCGGATAGCGACGCGTTACTTGCGTTGTCAGCTTTGTGAACGCATTGGGTTCTAGTAAATAGGAGACAACTCTTGTTTTCCTGTTCCTTTTGGCTAGCTGAAGACAAAATTTCTAACCACCCGGCAAAAAGAACATACTTCTTCCACGGGTGAAAGTTTGGAAGAGCAAGCGGCTAGAATGGCCGCAGAAGAAAAAACGAATGAGATTAAAATTCGATAAACATTTCAAAATAAAAATGAGCGATAGAAATTTTACACAACGTTTCGATGTCGTCATGACATCATTATCAAGTGACAAGAAAATAACGGTTCAACACCTCTCACCGCATATATAACACTGTTGAACCGTTATTTTCTTGTCACTTGATAATGATGTCATGACGACATCGAAACGTTGTGTAAAATTTCTATCGCTCATTTTTATTTTGAAATGTTTAGAAGAAAAAACAACAACGATACCTAAGGAATATTATACCAGTGTTTTTAATTGTCTCTCTGAATATATCGTGTTTATTTGAAAAAAATATATAATACACAGAATTTTCAGCCAATTAGAGCATGCATTTTCTCTCTTTTTTTAGAGTTTTTAACGCTCCGCCTTATAACGGTATGTACACATACACTTCTGCGAGATTATATTCTGAAACTGGGTGAAAGCGAAAGCGTTCTTCTGGTAAGAAAAACAATTTGAAAAACATATAGAAAAGGTGCACTAAAATTTCAGTCCCTTATGTATAAAATTGCTATCCAACAGTCAAGTGAAATTTTTTTCCATAACAATTGTTTTTATTAACTTATAGTTTTTAATCTACATACAACAGTATGTAGGCTATTTCGTCAGTTACTGTGCAGAAATTTAGTTCAGCCAAAAATCCTTGCCGTAGCAAAGATACCATTGATATCTCCAGCTCAGAAGATTTTCTCTCAAAGTCACCTTGATTGAGGATTCCTTCAAGTATGAGTTTGTTCTCGTAAGTCACAACATGACAGCCATATAATTTTTTAATAAGCTATAAATTCTAATAATAATGGATTGCGTGCTGTTTCACTGACTAGGGCTTTCGGAAGTAACTAAATCCATTCAGTGTGGCTGATTTAGATGTTCGCGTTATTTCTGACAGAAGAGCACTTGTAGGTCATGCCAGTCATGCACACCCGAATAAGAATGGAAAAAAAAAGCGAAAAAATTAACACTTCTTACAGTTAGATTCTTTTTATTAAGGTGGAGAGAAGGAGGAAAAACACTGATCTAAAATAAAGAAAAACGTGTTCAAAGACCATTTAAGAGAAGAATGTGGAGATTTCAGTTTGACCTAAACGAAGTGAGGTATGAAAAGGCGGGAAAATATTTGTCAGTGGCTGTTGGCTTTTTTAGTTAAATGAGGCATGTCAGCAAATTAAAACAAGTGAGACAGAGTTTTCTTCTGATATATTCCCGCACAACTCGCACAATCTCCTCTGTTAAGTCGTCCATAATCTGTGACAAACGACAAAGGTTAACGGGAAGATTCGGAAGGATAGCCCTGCTGAAAATGTACTCATCGTGCCAGTCAAATGGCGGAATCAAGAGTTTACTGTTTACGCGGCATTCATGATCACTTGAGTTGCTCACATCGATCGAGTTCACTGGAGACTGCTGAAGAATAAAAGAAGTAAAGGACAAGATCCAAATGTAAGGTAACAAACTTTACTAAAGTGCTAAGCTTAATTTTATACCGAAAAATCTGTTTTCGCTTCCTGAACGAAACTGTTTCGGATCTAGAATTTCCAGTTGGTTTTGCTGCCATTCGTCTTCTTTCAGTCGCTTTTCTTGTGCATTTACAATCCTTTTCAGTTAAATCTTTTGGATCAAACTCTGTGCAGCTGAATTAATTGTGACATTAAGTAGCTTTTTGTAGTTTCTGGATCGCCTTTGACGGTTTTTTTGCCTTTGACTGCTGTTTTCAGCCATCTTTTCCGACGGAATTTCCGCTTTAATACCGCCAAAAATTTTTAAGCTAAGTGATACTTGCCGCACATAATTTCCATAAAAAGCCAAATATAGGTATAATGTCTGGTAACGGAGATTCAATGAAATAATAAGAAGGGTAGAGATGCATAATTCGAGGGTGAAAATTTGATAATATTGTTAATATTTCTTTCCAATGCGCGCTTGCTATGATGTTGCGACATGACTTACGTGCGCAGTAAGGATGCGCAGAAATAAATAACGCGAGTGTCCGTAAGAAACCCTTTTAAAGTGCTTTGACTTTGTGGCTCATATCATTTTGCGATCAGTTGCATGGATAGATCGTATTATAACTCTTATCTCTTAGGCAATTTTATTGTTTTTAGTGGCTACAGAGCTGAAACAAGGCTTAAGCGCATAATTTATTAAATTATTTTTTTTGTTCTGGGAAATGTTAGGCAAACAATTTTCTAAACCTTGTTGGTTTTATATTCCTCATTCATCACATTTAACTTGTAAGCGCACTCAAAAAATGTTTTTTCTTTTCGTTTGGTGATTCACTACTTCGCGGTTTTCAACAAAAGTACAATATGGTTTACGCTTATAGACCGAAAATTTTTTAAATTGATTTATTTCTAGCTAATGGCTTTGCTTGAACGCGTTCAGTCTACTAACTTATTTCGTTTTGTAGAAGTAGTTCGCGATAATGCATAGCGAACAGAAGAACAAAAACAGCTTGATGACGGACCTATAGAATTGAAGTTTATTTAAAGTTTGTTTGAATTTTTGATGACTGAGCTTGTTAATAACTTTTGCCGATCAAGCTGGGACATGCTGTGAAAGACAACGCGCAAACCTTTGGGTTCTTTTTGTGGGGCTGTTCTAATTCAAATGACTTTTAATTCGCGTCTTATTTACTACTCAGCAGGTCGAAAAGACCAGTGAAGGCGAGCCATTCAAGCGAATTGAAAACTTCGTGAAGCTAAAAAGCAGACAAAGACTGCTAGTTTTTTAAAAATCTTATCTTGGGTAATAAATCAACAAAATAAAATAGTCAGTTTTATTTTGGCTTTTTAACTGACCTCCTTGTCGCAGCTGGACGAATTTTGCTGCCATTCTGTTACGCGCGAGTTAAATAAATGACAAAAAAGAAGACAAGATCGTAGACTAATAGCGATTTAATTGCACCTTCAAACTTTCTCCCTGCCAAACTGACTGTTTTTTGGAAATGATGTCAACGTAAATAAAGACAGCTCGACATTTTAATACTATTTCAAAGACATTTGCGACACTGCGAAATTAAAATAGAAAATTCAACAATAAACGTTTTGGAGCGAGCGAAACAAAGTGAAAACTCTCAGCGGAGTTAAAACGCTCTTTCTTTATAATAACTTGTATTTCTTTCACAAGAATCTTTTGAAGGGAGTTAATAGTACGAAAAAAAAAAAAAAAAAAAAAAGTTTAATAAAAAGAAAAGAACATATCTGAGAAGTGTCCAAACATGCAAAGGAAAAATTTTCTAAGAGTGGAATTCATGCTGGACNAAAAAAAAAAAAAAAAACCAGCACAGCTGTTTAATAGCGAAAACGTTCCCGCGAATTTTAAAGGAAAGAAAGCGAAGTACCCTCTGGCGGCATTTTAATTTGAAATCGACGCTTATTTGCCGTTTGAATCTAATTCATTCGAAGTATTTGCCTACAACGCACTGAAGAGCCCTTATTTTATTTTTAGATCTTCGCTCAAGTTGGCCTTTCTTGTAGAGATTTTAATTGATTATAGCTTCGCCGTTTCTTTAAAAAGTTATTTGTTCTCGTTATGTGGTTCTTTGAGGAGCAAATGTCAGTTTAAAAGCGAATTAGAAATTTCGTGAGGTGGAAAGTGGTTGGTGGTTAATTAAACACGGGTTGTTGATTTTTTACGTGTCTGACCCTATAAATCGATATATTTCCTTGCAGCTCTTATGCTAAAT